CTTGAAACATCCTGAAACAGGGTTGAAGGACAACGTGATCATAAATCGAAACAACAGCATAATTAACCAAGTTTCTAATAATTCTTGGTCATAAAAAGTTGCTGTGAAGATTTGAATTGTTCTCACAATCGAAAGACATAAATTAGCAAAAGCAATTTGAACCATTGTTAATTAAAGCTAAGAAGCTAAGACAACAATACCTGTGGAGATAGTTCCCTGACATGGGCTCTGGGGAGTTTCATCACATCGGCGCAAACTGTTTGAACCCTCGAATCACAATGCTCAGCTGGAACCTTCACCTTCTGTTCTGCAAATTCCGCATTTCACAACCCAATTACTCTATATAAATTATCGAATAAACAGAAAAAGAAAGAAAATTTAACGCGAAAGGATAGTGAAAAATGAGACCTTGAGATCAATCCCGACAACAAGGCCGCCATTTTTTAGGGGACCCAAGCTCTGGCAAGCCACCTGCAAATTTCAACAAAAACCCATGAATGTTATGAGAAGACAATCGAAATTTGAGTATAAAGTTAGGATTTTGAAATGACCAAAAAGGACCTGAAGCCAAGCGCCGGGAGCACAGCCGAGGTCGAGAACAGAGGAGCCAGGGGTTATGAGCTTGTACTGTTTCTGCATCTGAAGCAGCTGTTGAAAGATGTGGGTGGGTTAGTGGCAATTAGAGACATGAATTTTAGGTAAAAAGGTAAATCAATGAATACCTTGAAGGCCGAGCGAGCCACATAGCCCAGGCGTTGAGCCTCTCTGTAGAAGAAATCTGGTTTTCCTGCCCCACTCATCTTTACCCCTTTCTTCCTCTCTGTTTCTTTCCCTGGTTTCTTCTTCGCAATAAAACCCTAAACCCCAACCAACAGCGAGTTTTTTTTTTTTTTTTTTTTTTTTTCAAATATCACCCTTAATCTCCTTAATTAAATTGATAATGCGGTAGAATTGTGACTAAATTGTGCGATTGATTTTCTTTTCATGCTACTAAATAACTAAATATTAACCGGGAAGAAAACGAAGCTCCATGATGACAATTTTTTGTTTATGTTGTGCCAGTTTGGTTTCCATACCAATCTACAAACGAATCGATACTTATCATGTCATTATTTTGACAAATAATCAAATTAGCAAATAGCTAAAAGATATATATGAGTACGATTTTTTTTTTTTTTTTAAACAAACGATACTATTTACACTAAGAGGTGAGGGAGTGGCTAAATCTCTCAATGAGCTAATAATAATGTGGTTCAATTTTGTTTTGGCAAGAATTGAACTTAAGATCTCTCACTTACAAATGAAAAAGAATATCACTAGACCATAGTACTAAATAGCATATGAGTACGACTTTTACCTCTCATAATACAATGTTATTGTGAGGAAATTGAATCGTGTAAATCGTAATAGCGCTGAATTTTGAGGTGGGTTATTGCCTATAATAAAATGCAATTTTGTTGGATAAAGTAGGTAGCTGTTGAATGGGGGAAAAGCGAGGAATACAATACAATTGGTGAGACAAAGTTGTTGCTGTTGTCCCACATCGCCCAGAGATAGATGGGAAGCTGCTGGAGAGATTATAAAATGGAACAGAAGCAGAAGGCGCAAAACATCTTTGCGCTTGGGGCAATGACGCAGCTAATGAGGTTCTAACCGAGGCGCGTCTATTGCTGGTTGAAAACTATTTCCAAACCCCCTCACTGGCCTGGGTTCAGCCTGGGCCTCTGAGAATTTCTGGAAGGGCTCCCCTCGGGGTAAAGCCCTACAATTCCAAGTTCAAATTTCTTGCTGTTGATAGCTTATTGGAGTAAATAATAGCGGATAAAAATGGTCAATGTAAGATTATAAGTACAACAGAAATTACAGGTACTCTAAATTAAGATAAATAAAATTACAAGATTGTCCCTCATGCTGGATGCCGCAATTACCTTGAGAAATATGATCTAAACAGCGGTATGAAACTAGAGGATTCAGGAAGTAGCAATCAAGTAGAAAAAGCCTCTGGGCAACCGGATTAGAGTTGCTGATCCTTCTTAAAAGAGTGTAATCATGGCTTTCGCTACCGCCCTTCAACAACAAACCTCTTCTCACCCGAAGACCATACGCTGTTGCAGCTGCCGATATTATGATTCCGAGTAATCTGGCTAGCAGGTCCTGTCCTTGGCAATTTGTTGATTATCTTACGTGACACAAATTGACAAATGATAGAGAGAGGATGTCCTTTGCTACCTTCGCAATCTCCTGATTCAAAGTTGCGTAAACCCGACCCTCAGATTCCTCACCTGCCACTGCCTGTATGTCTGGTCTCTCAATCCTCTCCGAACCCTCACATGCAATGACATTCATTGCCTGCTTACCAAAGACCTCCCTCGCAATCAAAATCCTCTCTGGAGCATCATGCGGGACATTTATCTTCATATCGAACAATGTGGAAAAGTGGAAGAGGCCCTCCTGAAATCCCCAATGTGTAGATATCCAGATTTATGGTCCTAATCAGTTTTAAAACAACTGTGCATCGAGTTCACAAGAAGCACCTCGTCACGATCAATTTTAAGATCCTCGATTTGAATGGTGTCCTACTTTTGTGCTATTGCATTGAACTGAAATGGAACTTTATAAGTTTCCGCATGCTATCCTTGTTGCTTTCTCAGCTACTTCCATTATTGTCTTGTTTGAGAACAAAAACGATAGCCTCTTAAACGACACACGACAAGATATAGATAGTAAGCCTTCAAGACATCTGCAGCTGATGCTGGCTTGGACACAAGATCTTTGTAAATCTGAGCACCGGATCCAGCCATGCGTGCCTCAAGACCATCAGCAAAATAGTGAGCTAGTCTTTGCAGTGGGTTTCCCATTGCCATAAGAGAAGAATGCTGTCTGATATGCTTAAGCAACTCATTGTGCGTCCTCTTACCATTAGCTGCAACCGCTCGTGCACAAAGAGTCAAAAGAGTTCTCAAATCCACCACTTCCTTTTTACATCCCCACTTCTTTCCACGGCCTTTTCTACCACTGGCCTCATTCGACTGACCATGCTGTTGTACATTCTTGATTGTCCCGTTCTGCAATGTTTCACGAAGAGCAGATTGTTCTTGTGCGCAATTTGTGAAAACCGTATCACCAATTTCCGAACTCACAGTTGATTCAGTTTAAACTGCTGATTGCTTGTTACACTTCCCTGCATCTACATTCACATTTTCGCAGTAAGGATTCTTCCTTCCTCTTCACCCATCAGAAAAAGTACTCATTCTTCTTCTTTACCTCAGCTCCCATACGTATAGCATCTGCCTTCCCCTCGTTAAGTAACATCGTGTTACTTTCCAAATTAACAATCTGTCCATTACCATTCGGAAGAAACCTACTTGCTTCCTCAGAGCCTCTTTTAAATTGCACAACCGACTCAATCTCAATTCAAAAGGTGAGGAACTCTAAGAGTGCTCGGAAAAGAATTCACACCCTGTCTACAATATTACCACTTCCATTTGATGAGGCATGGAATGACAGAGAATTGGACTGAGTAGAAACATGCAAGGATTTGTACTCACGCGAATCACAACCCCAAAGCCAATCCAAGAGGTAGTATTGTAATCACTAGAATGCGAAGGATGACATTCATCTCGGCTTTCATTGTTTTGATCAGCATACGAAGTCATGTCACAAGGAGGAGAAAGAGAGTGCTTCTCTCCAAGAAGCTCATAAAATGATAGCTCAGCAGCTTCAAGTGCTGCAGGCTCATGATATATTTCGGTCTTTTCTTCCATAAGAATTTGGTTAATGTACTTGAGAACTACATCACTAAAATCGCAGTCCTCGGATGATTCCCCATCCGAATTCGTGCTCAAATCCGGGCCCAAATTACTCGAAATTGGATGGGAAGGTGCACAATTTTGATAAAGAAATCGTTCAAAGTTAGCATTTATGAGCGTGTAAGTGACTGTCAATTGTTGATGCATGTGAATTTCATAATGTATTAACAAATAATATCACTTGTGTGCATGTTAATTAGCCCTTTCTTCCCTCTTCATCACAACTAATTACATTTAATGTCCTCTTTAGTTACACACTTGCTGCCTCGCACAAGTCACACCAAGCTCAACTCAATTTAAGTCTATCATTTTTGAATTATTCTTTTTTCTTTTTTTTTTTTTTTTTTTGGGTGTTATTTTGTTTTAATTTTTTAATTTTGGGCCAAGGACCCAAAGATAATATGGCCATGTGATCAAGAGTGAGGAGATCAGATTCACAAAAGCCCCTCATATAGGTGAACAGAACAATATTGTTTCAAGAATTCAACTTTTATTTCGGGTCCTCATGCATACCTGCGAACACATATCCATAACCGATGAAATTTTACTCGCACACAGATATTTACAAAGATACTTTTACAACATAAGGTTAACTCGCATATCAATCACAACCTAGTATTAAAATCATAACAAAAATATAGATATATAGGTATCATAATCGAGTGAGCTGAACTTGAGATCTACTTTTACCAAAGAGAAAACTGGGTACCACTAAACCAATTGGACATGCGCAATCAGGTATACACTTGAACGAGCGTTATCCGCCTCCATACCCCGCAAAAGAAACAGGTGACCCGAACCCGCACCGTTTTGAGGTGTTTTAGATCCAATTTAGTTCCTTGGTGATATGCTGACCAATTCAAAATACGTAGGTAAGTAGGCAAGAAGTTGAGTAGTACACTACAAACTTTGCCAGATAACAAATCAACAGGATATATTTCTTTTCTTCATCTCTACACGTGATTTTGCACGTGCCAAATGTGTTAATATGTCAGAGCCACCGCCCAAGTTAGTTGGCCAATTCAAAAAATTAGATAAATAATTAGTCCAACAGCAAAGGTGTAAATTATACGCAACTCAATCATGCAATTGCAACCCATCTTTGAATTGAAAACAGTGACGTTGACTGACTTGCAATGCAAGAAACTCACATCACATTCACATGGAAGTTATTAACACAGAAGCAACATATTGAAGATAATTAAAATAAGTTTATTCCTGTTTATGAACATTCACATTTCTCTGCATTACAAGTTGGTGAAATAAAAACAAATTGGATTCAAACAACTGTGAGATTCTGTTAGAATAATCTTTATTCCGACGAACCATTTACATTTGCCGGCCTCCCTCAGACAGAGACGCCGGCAATTGAATTTAAACTGTGGGGGTGAGGATTTTACACAAATTTTGGGTCATTTGTACATTTGTCTTCTTATTTCCCTGTTTCTGTCAACGTTTCCTGTTTTTTTTCTACATCATACAATCGGATACCTTTCAGCTCCATGCCTATCGGTCGGGTGCATCTGTGATCTTCAGAATGCTGGCAAGGCCGGGTGCTTGCTGTGTTGCTTTGCTTGGTGTTGGCACCAGTAAGAATGGGCAGCCAACACTCGGTCCAGAAGCTCCTGAGGAACGGGCTCTCCCCTTCTTTGTTGAGGAGAGATTTTTGCGGTGTGGACTAAGGTTTTCCATTTATCCTGCATAAAACCACCACAAAGCACATCAAATACAACATAAATCATGTAACTTGTGCTTTCCAGAGAAGCACTCAATGGCAATGTACCTGCAAACAAAATAATAATCGAGCGATGTAGGACAAGATAACCATACAAACAAAATTTACCTTCAGGTCCACATAAGTTCGATGATCTGCATTCTCAAATGCACGCAATTTAACATCGCGCCACCTGCAGATTCATAACATTGTTAAACCACTATTATCCTTCAAAATGGAATCATGCATCTCGCACTGATACTATTTAAGTGGTAACGAACATCACACCTTCCGGTTCCAAGTTCCTCAACTGCTGTCACCAATGCTTCGACTTCTGAGACAGAGAATGGTCTCCTGGTTCGACGCTGTGCAAGCTCAGATCGCTTAGTTTTTTGGCTCACAGGAACTATGGCTAGTGGCTCCATGCTCATTTCTGGAATCGCAACTAGCGCCTGGGATTCCAGCATTGTTTTGTTGGTCAATATGTCAATATGAGAGGAAACTGGTTCATGCTTAGTTTCAGCAAGACTCCCTGAATTGGTTATAGGAGGAATGTCAGACAACACATCAGACGTTGGAGAGTCCAAGACGGGTGTGCCTGGGGACCTGAAACAACGATGCATATTTGCTGTAATGAGAACACATGTGAAAAGCTGTTCCTCAAGTCAACAGAGCAGAACCGTAATGCAAAACTTGTCCTATCCATTGAGATTAAAGCTCAACAATTTTTTTTTCCACATATGCATCATAACACAATCATCATGAATAATTAGCACACACTATTGCCTACAAAATTGCATTAATTAAGAATTTATGATACTAAATCAAATAACGCATACCGGAGGGAAATTCATCTCTTAATTGTCTAAACAGCCTCAAATATATTGTATAAGCAGCTATAGACTTAATTAAATACAGAAAACAAACGTCATAAATTCCAGCAGAAAAATACCATCTCAGCATGCATATCAACAACTATGAAAGAAAACAAAGTCGACCCAAATGGGCAATCAAAAAAATTCCAACTTTAGACAAGGGACTTCTCACAACACATCAATTACCTGGCCACCATCTCGCATGAAAATGGAGGATCGCCAGAACACAAAAATGCAGAAGCTTGCACGGGACTAGGCTCCAACATAAAACCCAGAGAATCCAAACTGTCTTTGGAAGAAATTCCCATCTGCATTAGAGTTCTGTTGTCATCTCTTATGTTTTTCCCTTGAACAAGTACTCCAACACTTAAACCATCCCTAAGTATGGCATTCACTGCATCCATGACTGTCCTCTGTAAAATTTCATATCACAAAAGTAAAATATTCAGGCCCAGAAGTGATGAATAGTCAACAACTACTTGCTAAACAAGACCCAATACTAGCGAATAAACAAGCATATTCCATGCCATTTGAGGAAAATTCTTATCGTAAAGAGGAAGGAGAAAACCTGCAACCCGTACATTATTTTATGGCCAATGGCACGTAAAATAAAATAATGCATCTGAATTAATACCTTCAATGAACCGACTGTTTCAGTTTCTGGGACCTCAATGACAAGCTCTGGAACCCTAAAGGATTTGATTCTCAATTTCACTGCAGAAGGAAAGATAATGCACAATGATACTGGTTATACAATCGAATAAGGAAAGTGTTTAACACCAAATCTTAAAAACTTTAATTACCATGAGATTCCTCAGAGCGGAAAGATGTTTGATGACCAATAACTGAAGCTGACACTCCGTTTGCTGCACAGAAGAATAACCATTAAGAAAAACCAATACCACAAGCCTTAAGTCCCAAGAACACATAAGGAAACAGTAACAACAAAATATCTACATAATTGTGCCAAAGTAGCATACCAGCTGGACCAGTTTTATCTCCGTTATCAGGTGAGTTAGAAACACTTTCACCACTAAACCCTCCATCAGAAGTCACTACCGAACTCCGGTCAACCAGTTTCCTCCTCTTATAAAGAGTGTCACGTTGAGATCTTTCACGGTTGTAAAAGGTTTTCCTTTTGTGATAAATAGTTTTTACTCCCCCATCTAGAAAAACCAAAAACATAAGCTCAACATTAAATGAATTTGTATCGATTTATGATGCTAACCAAAGCACAATAAGAAACTTACCATATCTATAGTGCTCACATTCCCTCAACTTTGGAGCCGCTTTCCAGTACTTGGATGTCAGTAACTTCCTTATTCTTCGGTCTCCAACACGTGGTGGAGGCCTAAAGACCTTCACCCTGTTGCTAGGTTTAATGCACCTAGTAAAGTTTTCGTCATCATCTCTGCTACCTAATTCAATATCATTCCTATGCCTGGAAAAAGAAGCATTAGGAACAGGATCCCTGAACAATGACAATTTGACATTGCTGTCTCCATTGAGCATTGCAGGATATTTTGCATGCAGTTCAGTTGGATCCTTGGAACTGCATGGGTTAGCTATCTTCAAAGCTCCAGTTTCTAACAGCTTACTATCTTCCCGTACTTCAATTCCATTTGCTACAGTACCATAACAGGACTCCACAATACCCGAGGATCCCCCCTCTACCTTACCAGAATAATTTTGAAATGTGGGCCTGCTACTGGAAATTACAGACTTTGCCCGGCGCCCAGCTTTTGCAGAGCTGTCTGAACTTGTAATAACTGAAGTGCGTTCCAAAACAGTATCACTGTTGGCACACAGAATTTCTTTTAGAATGCCCTTCTGACCGACATTTTGCGATGTCAGCCCTAAAGAAACGCTTTCTTCGGAGCTTCCCTGATCAGGGCACTCTTCTTTCAGAGGTTTATGTTCATCTTGTCTTTCCTGCTTAACGTCTATGCCAAAGGCAGGCTGCAAATTTCCTTCAGAAGCATTACTGGAGGCAGAACTTTCACTCTCCTGCAATAACTTTCCAGCTAAAGAGGCCAATAATTCAAATGCACAGAATTGGCCATCCTCAACCGACTTCCTATGTGGGCCCCTCTGAAACCAGTAACCGAAATTCGTGAATTCAATACAGGGTTTATCATCCAAAACCAAAAAGGTAAGGAGAAAACAAAAAGAGGCAACCCTAGAATTTCAGGAATGCTTACCCTAGCTGATCTGGGAGCTCTAGGTATAGTAGGGACCTGGAAGCCATTAAATCCAAAATCGAGCCTCTTCTTCAACACCATATCTCAAGCATACATGGCAATTTGAACTCATCAAACACAAAGAAGCATCAACCCCGCATTCAGTTCACTGTCATAAGATATTCATTTCATAGAAAGAACACGTGTCAGGCTTAGCTTGGGGAATATGTGTTTGCATAATCGAAACAAAATCTCATTGATCACAAAAGGAAGATAACAATAAATTCAGAATCCTACGTCATACTACTATATCAAAACCAACACAAAATAAAATCCCACAATGAGATCGAAGTAGTGATATAATGTTCCTTCTTTAAAGATGCATATTAACTAAAATATAGCAAGAATAGACTGCCTCTGTGATCAATAACGTAAAACTCATGATTAGGCCTCCAAGTCTCCTAAACCACCAAACCACCCCTCTAGGTGTAAGTGCCTAATCATTCCCACAATTCTTAGAAATCAAACAGATCCCTCAGACTGATTGAGGAACAATAGCAAAATCCAACACGGTAAGATTTGGAATATAAAACTACTCGAAAGACTTGAACCAAAGCTTGAAACGAAAACATAATAAAAACTAAACTAATCTGCTCCGCGGTATGCAGAAAATCATAAACCAGATCTTAAAACCCTAATCAGAGGTCTTTTCAAAAGAAAATTCCAGGAAATTGAACAGATACAATATCAAGCATGAACCGGAACCAAATTGGAAGTCAAGGCTCCAATCACATCTGAAACTAGTTGTTTAATGTACAAAGAACTTAGAAATGTAAATTGCATTTAACTTCATAAACCCAAAACCCAGAAAACGAATTCCCATTTGATAAATTGAATACACAACAAGAAGAATTCCAAATCAAATCCAATTCGGCAAAAGCAATTACAAATCCAACGCCAATTCCGATCTTAGTTCTGTAATCTGTTTTACGCAGCGATGAATGAATTCAAAGCTAAACTAAAATCCCATAAACCTCAGATCAAAAGAAATGGACTTCATGCAAAACAAAACCCATGATTCTGATCACGACCACAAATTCTCAATCAAACCCAATTCAGCACATCCAAACACGACCCAAATTCCCCAATCAGGTCCCGATCTCAATCGAAATTCAAAATTGCATGCAGTAATTGAACACACCCAATTGCTCAACCGAAGCAAAACCCATAAGTTATTGACCAGAACAGCGCTGAATTCTCAAAAACTAAAACCCAAATTGCATCAAACCAAAATCCTTGCAGAGAAGCTCGATTTACTCACCTCTTGGACAAAGATCTTCTTCTGGGTTAAATCTAAAACCAATATATCTACAAATTTTCAGGGAAAGAAAAAACAGAAAATCTGGGAAATGTGTAAGAGATCTGCGAGAATACGAAGCAAGAATTGGTGGTTTCTCTCTCTAAATCTCTCTACAAAAAGGAAAAAGGAAAAACCCAATTGGATTGTAAAATGTTAATGATTTTGTATATACAAAAACCATGCAGAAGAAACAGTGGCCTTAAACCCCTTCTTATATATGTTTCATGGTTTTCCGACCACAAAACTAGGCGAGCCAGTAAAAGGGCAATAATGTCCGGGTAATTGCAGGTTCCCTAAACCCCCTTCTTCTCTTTTTTCCTTCTTTTTTCTCTCTGTCTCTCTCTCTCTCTCTATCTCTTGGACCAGTTCTTCCTCTTCTTCCTTCCCTCCTTTTCTTATACATCCATCAATCCACCAGCTGAGGTGGAGATAGAGTTCTCTTGCCACGTATACCTCCCAAGTCATATTTGTTTTCCTTTTATTTTCGAGAACTATTATTACCGCTTCGAAAATTTTATTTCATAATTGTCACAAATGTTGTTTTTTTTTTTTTTAAATATAAAATGTTTAGAGTGCAAAATGAGAATTTCAGAATGCTAATAACAATTTTATTATTTTCGGACGATAATTTTTTTTGTTGGAATGGGCAATGAAAATGAAAAAAGAAATGCTAATGAATCCCTCTCAAAATTCGATTCTTCATAGACTCTCTTCAACTACAGAGTTTGAAGCCGAGACAAAATGCTTCTTCTTCTTTTATCATCACTCACTCAGATTTATTTTGTAAAAGAGGAAGATGGAGTATTTGTTAACCTATTATTTCATCTTCTTAAAGCTAAGTCTAACCCTTTTGCTTTGTACCAGTTAGCTACAACCATCGAATTAGATTTCATTTGATATGCTTTTAAAATGATTAGAAACGCTTTTAGTGAAAATATTTTCAATACCAATCCTTAGTAAAACTGCAAATAAATCCTTAAAAAAGTACTTAAAAGTGTTTTTGAAATCTAAAAATATTTTCTCTAAAAGGGCTTTTAGTCATTTTAAAAACACATCCAAACGAACCATTAATCTCTAGTAAACAGTTAAACTCACGTTCAAACGAACCATTAATCTCTAGTAAACAGTTAAACTGAATAGTAGTATTATATCACTCATGAATCCTTGATCGATCGATCTTAGAATAATTAGAATATGAAAAAGAATAAAATATTTAACCTTTGACATCACCCACATACATCTCTATTGGCTATAGCCATGTGATCGTAGATTCTTACCCCCAATAATGTGTAATTGTATATTCTAAAGTAATTAAGTGTCTAATCAAATTACGAAAATACACTTCAAACAATTCACTGTTATCCATTAATATTAGCGAAGTTTTAACGAAACACTCTTCGTACTGTTCATTTTTAACGAAAATGATATTTTTACTCTAAAAAGTCACTCCTAGTACTATTCACTTACAACAGCTTTTTGTTCTTTTGATTAAAACTCAAAGTTTTCAAGTCATTTTCATTAGTTTTCTTTTAATATTGTTGGACCAAATTCTACTCGGGTTGGCGAGTGAACCTACAAGAACAAAGATAAGGGAAGGATCACGAAACTAGATGTCGGGGAGGATAATTCTCGACGTAGGTGCTCCGACGATCAAGTTAGAAATGAGTGATGGATGGTAAGTTATATATTTTGAGAGGGATGAGAGTGTCTAATCTAAGAGTCGAATGGCCTACTTATAGGCGTTTGGGAGTTAGTTTGTGAGTGTTATGCCAAATGTCTGAGTCGTTAAAATAAGGCTTAATGCCAAGTTGCATCAACAACATGGGACAAGACAACGGACCAGAACTCTTTTCCTTCCTCTCACATTCTTTATTTTGTTTTTCTCTTTCTATAAAAAATTAGTATAAGATATTGACGTAATTTAAACGTGATCGTTCAAATAGAAGAAAAGAAAAAGAAAGAAAAGAAAGAAAAAAAAAGAGAACCTTACTCCTTCTCTCGTAGTAGGCGCATCATGGGTTAGGGTACCATTAGTCTGGCCAATCGTACATGCAGTTAGGATTTGGCAAATTAGGATCTGTTTGGTGATTGATGGTATCTAGTGGGAGTTGTTGGGCACGATGTAGATTATATTGGAGAGCCTACGGGCGACTGACCGCGTAGTCCCATTAAGGCTGCAACAATTGACTGGCTTCGAGGATCTCGTTGACATTTTGTTATAGTAACATCCAGAGTGCGTGACTCACTCCGAAACAGATCAACGGATTGATTTGGCGGCTTCACTATTCCAGAGGGGTAGAAATTATGGTCTTGCAAATATATTTAATTATATTCTAATATGGCCCATTATTTAAATGAAAGAACAGATTCAGCCTGTCATATGGATGCCAACTTGTTTATATATTAACACTTTAGCGTGTTCCTAAGCAACAGCTTTTAATGGTTTATACACTATTTATCCGGTCACTAATAAGATTATTTTTACTAACATTACTTTGTCTCTAGAAAAAGAAAAAAAATGAAATGATTTTACACTTCTGCATAGAAAGATTATTTAAAATCTATAATTATAACATTACACGATCAATTAAGATTACGATGTTTTGCCACGTGGAATTAATGCGACACTTTTATATGACTTGTCGTCTGTCCTAGTCGGACATAGATGTTGAAGTGGTGGTAGTGGAAAAAACACGGATTAAGGCAGGGAATATTTGACGGCGTTAGTTACTAGGAGGAGTGGATTTGATTGGGTGGCGCGCAGAGAAGGCATGGAAGATAACGGAATGAGTGGCCAAATGCGGTTTCGCGGTTATCCCGTCAAAACCATCTAGATTAGAAGTTGTCTTGCACGTTTCCTTCACTTTCTTCGAGAAACCCACAGTAACTGTCCTGCCACGCCCGCCAACGTATCCGGTAGCCGGTCACCCTCTTGCTTTTTACACGCGTGTCGGTTACATTTTGGACTGGTTGGTGGGTGAGTGGCTGCGAGTGGATTGGGTTTATGGTCTACTGGAGTTTGGGCTTCACCTACTTTTTTTTATTATTTTAAAGTGAAATGGGCTTCATGTGCTTTTGTTTTATTTTATTTTTTTAAGGAATTGGATCCTCTTCGAAGAAAAGCTTTTGGTATCCTCTTGACCTATTAACACGGACCGTTGGATTTTGATCCAACAGCTACAATTATTTTAATTTTTAAAGAAGCCTCCTATTTATAACCGTTGGATCAAACTCCAATGACCCGTATTATTGGATCAGGAGAATCTCGAGACTTTGCCTCGAAGAGAATCCAATTCCATTTTTTGAGATTAATGTACTTTGATTGATGTTACGTGTGATTTAAGCAAGTCTCATATTTTTTATATGCAACGATAGTTTTACTTTTATAACAAAGTGATGAAGATTTGAATTAAATGCCTCGACTTGTCAATATAATAAATTGATATCACCTAAACATTTACAAGAATCAAACATGAAGCATTTTATTTATAAGTCAAGTGAATAGGCATACTACTAGTTATAGTACTAGTAGCAAGCACTTTGAAGAGTTACTTATGGAGAGAATTTGTCTACAACCAAGATGTATCATTTTATGTCTACAATGCTTATTAAGGGTATGTTTGAGATTGTTTCTAAAAGGGCTAAATTGATTTCGATTTCTAACATTCAATATCACTTCTAAATTTGTTTGGTAGACAGACTTAGAAGTGCTTATGACTCAAAAAATGCTTGTTTGAAGAAACACATGTTGAATGCTCATTCAAGAAAGAACTTTCAAGTGCTTTTCTAAGTAATTGATTTTTAATTAAAAAAAATCAAAACAACTATAATTAAAGCACTTATGAAAATAAGTGTTTTTTTTAGAGAATGAACCTCAAACATGTCCTAAATATCCACAGCACAAGTTATGGTCATGTGGTAAGTTTTGTAGATAATAGATAGTGATTTTTTAGTTTAAATACCAATTATATGAATTTTTTTAGCTAAAGTACTATGTTTTTAGTTTATTTAGCTAAAGTACTATGTTTTTAGTTTAGGTACCAATCAAAAAGTCAACCAAAACAATTCTATAAATACTACTATAATCGAAAATAACTACATGATTGTCACTCAATCCTACCGTGATTTTCAATCCGCCAAACTTTTCCTTGTGACTAATTGATCAAATTTTTTGACAACCGACTAATCAAATTTTCTGATCTCAATGTCATTGTCCAAAAGTGACCTTCAAAAAAAAAACATATTAAGTAATGAATTTTCTCATAAATTCTCTAATTTTATTTTGTATACATGTAAAAAAATAATAAACTCACACAACAAAACATAATTGAAGATGAAAATGTTCCACATATTGTTTTTTAAGTCATTGTTGAACCATGACTTGAAAATTTTCGTTGATCAGAAAAAAGATTCGTTCAAAATGACTGTGGTCGGCCGACAATTTCTGGCACATGCATTGGTGACATGTGGGTCATGTGCAATGAGAATAAAAATATAAATGGTCTTATGCTTATAAGTGTATACATTTGCCCACAATTTGGGGCTTAATCTAAGTAGAATGGGAAGGGATTGGTAGTTTTCCTTAAAAGTTCTATTAAAATTGGTTTAGTCTCAATTTGCCTTAAAAGATTTACTCATGATGACACAATATGTTTCTCCTACTTATAGAGAAAAATTACTTGAATGCCACGAGGAGTGTAGCCCTTACACTCCCTTATTCCTTTAATATAAATCTTGTGACATTTCTTTACCACTCACCATACACGTCGCGCGGGATGAGTACTAAAAGAAGAAAGAGCATACACATGTTGTATTGAGTTATTATCATACTGATTATGTGTGAAGGTGGAAACATTTTAGTTACACTATCAAACGAATAATATTGTCTTAAGAGATATCGCTAAGATCGACATTATTAACAACTAATTTTGTGATCATAAATATCGTAATTTTTTCCTCGTAATTAGAGTTTAGTGGCGACATATTAAAGAAAATTCTAATTAGAAATCTTGATATATAGAAATAGTATATTCACAAATAGGTAATCATCAATAATGCAAGTGATAGTTGTCAAGTCACTTAAAGACGCTAAGTAAATGAATAAAGTAGGGGTGATTAGTGTACTAAACAAATGGATTAAGCCAATGACTAGCCAACAAATTGGGAACCAAGTGGGACTGTAGGAGTGTGTTTGCTCAATTAGCTAGCAATCACGTGCCCTTTTTCTTTTGTTCTGGGACATATCACCTTTCCATGCACCATACATTTCACGTAAATCTTTATTAATTTTCTTCTTTAATCCATCAAATCTTTTGTTTGCAATATTCCTTTCTTGTTGATAGACCCTTATCGTCGTTGCCTTTT